TCTTATGACAGCGGCATGATATATGTAGTGGTTCTGTGGTAACTACATATGTAGACAATTACTAAACTACATCCCATAAAGCATTTTTTTGCAATTTATTTTTTCTTTTTTTTCCTTATTTTTGTTTTTTTTTTTAATTTTTTTTCTTTTTTTTCTTTTTTTTTCTTTTCTTTATTATAAAAATCTGCATAAACGAACGCAAAAAGAAATTTACATTTTGTCATGCCCACCGCTGCTAGTGGGTCTACAGTCTTTAGTCAGCCAGCTCTATGGTCTATCGTTAATATCTTATTTTACGTGCTCTTTAATGTAGAGCATACAAAACGATGCCAACTGCAATGGTATGAGCGGAGGACAAATTCCGACATTTATGTGTGCGGCCAAAAGAGTAACCCTAATGTGTCAGTGGGCCGGGACAAGCGTTGGCCGTGAGGGGATCCTGGTTCCTGCTAGTTGGCTGGTGTGCTTACTTAGCCTCGTTGACACGTTTAGTTGTCATATAACACACACACACAGTGAGCGAGAGAGAGAGACCGAGCCATAGAGGCATGGGGGAAAGAGGGAAAAGGATGAACACTTGCACATCCTTGTATCCGTATCCTTGTGTACTCGGAGCAAATCAGAAACAAGTCAAAGGTAAAACGAGCATAGTAATAATGCTGATGGCATCCCACAGAACGAGCCAAAAACTATAGTCGTCAGCGACTATGGCTGTGGCATGCCCCCGAGAGAGTGTGCCCCCCAGTCTGAGTCTGAGTGTGTGTTTGTTTGTGTATGTGTCTATATGGCATACAAAAATGCAAATTTGTTGGCCATTTGGTAAATTGATTTTGCCATTGCAATTGGCCAATATTCAATGAGTGTCTACCGGGGATAGGGGCCATAAACCAATGATGGCAATAGCAATAGCAAAAACGACCAGCATAAACAAATGATAGAAAAACGCTATCGTTTTATGCCTTCTCGAAATTTTACTTAAGGATGGCTCCTTGTGGCAATTTCTTGATGGCAACGAAAATGGACACGGACACACATTAGGAATACACATTAGGAATTGTGATGAGCTTAGGTAGGATTTGGTGTTGCTGTTGGTGAGTCCATCGATCATCATTATTTTTAGTGTGATAGTCGCAAAGATTTCCACGCAAAATGCAAGTTTTTTTGGTGGCTTATTGAGTCGATTCTATGGGTTATTTTATAGTGTTAGGCAATAATTTGATGCAGCGTGCTCGACTCGAGACGCACAAGTGAATGCTGTGAAAGAGAATGCCCCCGAGAATTGCAAGAACAATTTACATGTCGTGTGCATTATTCGATGATAGGATTTAAGTATTATTTTTTGTTGCCTCCCCGCTGCTTTAATAAATTAAAAATTTCCTTTGAATTTATTTTTCTAATTAATTCAGTGCTCCCCTCCTAAAACCCCCATTTCCCAATAGATTGTCCCGCCATTGGGAGAACTTTTTCATTGTATTTCATAGCCATATGCATAGTCCGCCATTGAAAACCCAATTATAAAAGTGTAAACAAAATTAATCAAAGTTTGGCCGCAACTCAAATCAACACAGCAGCAGCCAGACCCACACATAGCGCACTTGGAGCATGCTGGTGCCTGCCACAAAAAGCAATAACAATCCAAAAATAAAATTTTAAAAGCACTGACCCACCCCAATCACCCCCCAAAACTATGCCATAGCCCATTCTCCCAGTCTCCCAGTTCCCAGTATTCATATGCAATCGCCGCAGCAGTGGTACACGCGGCGTATGAGGGGGTTTGTTACCTGATGGTGCAGACTGTTGTAGTAGCGGGTTACGTATGCGGGCAACAGCTCGGCCGTCTCCAGGCCAATCCACTGGAAGACCTCCAGTTGGGCATGTGGCTGGGGCGCTGAAGCGGTATTACCCAAAGCAACGACGACGGCGGCATTGGATCCGGAGCAGCAGCAGCCACAGCAACAACACACTTTCTCCTTCCTCTCATCGTTGGCCGCCATTCAGCAGGAGGTTCCGTCCCTCAAAACTTTCCACGCTTCTTTGGGTTCTTTTTGCTGTTGCTGTTGCTGTTGCTGTAGTTGTTTTTGTTGTTGTTGTTGTTGTTGTTGTTGTTGTTGGCGTGTTTTCTTATCAATATTATAATTTGATTATTTGTTCCTGTTCTACAACATTTAATTTTGAGTTTATCCTGCCACTTCCTTTTGGGTTTCCAGTTGCCAGTTCTTGTTGGTGTTTTTGAGTAGGTGAAACACATTTGAATTTAAATTGAGTTATGCTGGCATAGACTAGTAGTAGTCGACAGCTGTGGCCTGGGACGGAGGCGTAGTATCTTCTTGTGCTGCCAATTTATGAGCAGGGCAATGGCTCGTCCCCAGCGCCATGGAGCGGCACCAGCAGCCGCAGAAGCAGCAGCAGCATCATCATCGTCGATGGTGGCACTACAGAGACCGGCAACGGTAGCTGTCGCTGTGGCAGTGGCTGCCATTTTGTCAATTGCTCCCATGTGGATTGAGATGCTGAAACACGTGGCTGACAGCGCGACTCCAGTCGAGAGGAAAAACTCGCGCGTAATTGGCACACTGACACAACGACACGCACTAAAACACTCCAGAGACAGGCACCCGGGATTCCGGGTACGACTACGGCTATACGGCAATACGGCTATACGGAGATACGACTACGGGTACGTTTACGAGTCCCGGTCCGGGTTTAGCCTCCCGTTAATTGGGTCAAGCGAACAGCAGAGAGCGAGCGAAATAGACGACTCCTGACGAAGGTTTTTCCGCCAAAAAAAAAACCAGAACCAGAACACACACAAAAAACAAACTCCAGCGCTCTAACCGTTTCTTTTAGGCGGGGGCTGCTTTGGAGCTATGGGTATGTGTGAGGGATTGTGGCGCCTCGTTAGCCGCCTCTTTTACACATGACTGGGCCAAGTGTCAAATAAATCAAAATGCGAATCCGAGGCGCGGCGCGGCGCTGCACGTTCCCTAGTGGCGACTGCGCCGCAAACTAAACTGAAAATTGTGCGCGCTTTTTGTTTAAGTCAATCACGAGTGCTCCGTTTGGCTAGAGATGGCGGGGAACAGAGACAGAGAGAGAGAAGAGGGAGGCCTGCAGTTGCTGCTGCAATGTGCAGCGCAAAGAGAGAAGGAAGAGAAGGAAGGGAACAAGAGAGAGAGACCCGAGGAGACCAAAAAGCTTTTGCTGCAAGCTTGGACCAGGTCCGGGGCAAACTCTTGTTGCTGTTGCTGCTGCAGCCCTGGACAGTCAGTTCTTATCGTAGCAACACCCCCATACCCCCACCCACCCGCACCCTTGCCACCAAAACGATTCCCCAGCCTCCACGATGTGTATATAGCATTAACACATTCCTTCCTAGCCTGAGCCTGCATTTTGCTGCAGTTGTTCATATTTTTCTTTCACTCTTTGCCTTTTTCCTTTTTTTTTTTTGTTTGTAGCTGGATTTATGAAAATGAGACGCCAGACAGAGGCCGAGAGTACGAGTCCGAGTCCGAGCGCAAGTCCTGAAGTGGCGCAAAAAATAAATAAAAGGAGGCACACAGGCACAGAGGCAACAGACGCCCAATGCCCCAGCAGCAGCATCAGCAGCAGCAGGCAGAAGAAAAAAATGTGTAGTAGTCTGCTTCAAGGAGCAATTAACGACAGTGGATGGCACAGAGTTATGTTATAGCATTTTGGGTGCCCCATATCACACTCAGGCAGACAACCCAGAAGTTTCCTCTTGCCAGAAAAAAGTATTCTTAATACCCTAGCTTATGAGGGGGGTAAAGCAATTAAGACCTCAAAGGAAAAGTCTTGCAAATTATGGGATATAGCTTGATGAAGCCCCTTGGATATTTCTTCAAGTTTCTCTTTAACACATTCAACGAAAATGTTTTTTCATGTAATTGATTTATAATTCCATAATTCTAGCTCTAATTTTGGGCTGTCAGAACTTGTGGACATTCAAATTTATGTAAATCCACTTAAATAAAAGATTACCGGGATATATATGATGACATATTTATCCACCCCCATTTATTTGCCCATTTAAAGGTGCCTGAAATGCAATTTTACGTAAACAATTTAACAGCTGAAACCCATCAGGAATCATATTAAATTCAGTTTTACTGGGAGCCGCGCCCCGCAAGGGAATCATCTATGTCAGTAATTTTTCATTAATGCCCGTAAGGATATTTGATATTTCGTTCAAATGCAAAATTCTGTTCGGTTTTCGCCTCCTTTTTTTCTACATTTTTCTGGGTTTTTTTTTTGTTCTGTTTTCTGTTTCGCTATCGTTAAATGTTTTTTGTGTGGCCGCTCGGGTTTTTGCAGTACCACAACGAGACGATGGCACTTGAGTCGTGTAGCATACTTTTCAGCGCAAAAAGCCTTTAGGGGGTGGACCAGACCCAGACCAGACCAGGACCCAAACCGGATCCGAATGAAACGAAATGGACCGGGGCCTTAGGGGTGCCTGTGTAGCGGATGTTGCTGGCTTCTGGTACTCGTATTCCTGCTGCTGCAGCAGCAGCAGCAGCCAGCAACAACGTCCGAAATTCATTTTGGTTTATTCTGATTAAATTGTTTGTATTTGGTTGCATTAGCAGGCATTGTTCCATGAGCCTGGGCAAGAGAGCGCAAGCTCTGTACGAGGATGTGTCTCTGTTGAGGCAAAGGATTAGTGACGGTCTGCGCTCCGGCAATGATGCCACTGTACATAGTGCCTGCCTCTTTTGCTTGTTTGCCCGCACTAAATACATTTCAAATTTATTTCAGCTTAAGCCGAAACGAATTTCGGTAGAGAGCCAGCCCTTGAGTGGCACACAGAGATTGATATGACCACAGAGACAGACAGAGAGAAAAGTAGAGTAAGAGCAACAAGGCTTTGTCGTGATTGGCAGATTATTACGATATAAAGCCTGTGCCTGCCACAAAATGCCCTGCCGCAGTCCGGCAAAGTAAAAGTAAATAAGAGCATAATGGAAGGGGGGAGCACTCACCTGCATGTGTGGGGCGGCCAGCAGCAGCATCAGCTCATCCTTGGCATACTTATTGGTCACCGAGCTGCTGCCGCCCGTCGACGAGAGCGTCTCCAGCACATCTCGACTGCGAGTGACCGCCTCTGCGGCCGGCGCCCGACCATTGCACGTGACCACCGTCGATGTGATGCGATCAAAGAGCTGCAGCAGCTGATGCAAGCGACTGTCCCGCAGCATATCCCGCATCACATCCGCATCCACGTGCGCATCCTGCAGCGAATAGATATCGTCCAGGCAGTCCAAAATGCGCTGAACGGCTTCGATGCCCGCCTCCTCGTCGGCCCACTCGTCCGGTGCTCCAGCAATGGGCACTGCAAGATCAGAAAATTGATTAGAATTGACAAGAGATAAGTCTGCATATGGAAAAACTTACTGTCCGCATCGGTGACATAAACGGGATCCATGGTGGTGCCGCCGGCGATGGCCTGAACGGCTCCTTTGAGCTTGCGTCGCGCATTGTAGCGCTTCAATTCCTCCACCGTTTCGGAGAGATGTGTTCGCTGTAGTTTGTCCCGATCCCGTATCCACGGATGGTCGAGCACCTCGGTGATGGAAAGTCTGTGATGTGGATTGGCGGCCAGCATTTTCATGACTAGATCCTTGGCATTAGCCGAAATTGATTTCCATTCGGGCGCCTCAAACTGCAAAATGAATTAAATTCGTGAGCCCTATGAACGCCGACCCCCAATGAATCCTTTTGAGACACTCACCGAGAGCCTGCCACGCGCTATTGACTGCTGTAGTCGCACCCCGGAGCCCAAAAAGGGCAATCTACCCGAGAGTAGGACATGCAGCATTACACCAGCGCCCCAGACATCGCAGCCCTTGCCGTACAAGCGCCGCGTAACAACCTCCGGCGCCATGTAGTGCGGACAGCCCACGCGTCCATGTGTTTCTATGGTTTCCCTCGTGCCCGGCAACTGGATGGCCGAACCGAAGCCACCAAGCTTCACTGGCGCCGAGTTGTCCACGGTGGCGAGCAGGGCACAGGCAGGACGCACGTCCCTGTGCAGTATGTCGTTCTCATGGCAATATCGGAGCGCCTCCAGTATCTGGCGCATATAATGACTGTAACGATATGCAGATGATGTTATATAGAGTGCTTACAGAGGGGTTTGTACTATGGTTGTGTGTTTGTTTCGGTTAAGGAATTTTTTAGTGATTTATTGCATATTTAATATAGCTGCTAAATGATGTGGCAACTAACAAAAGTTTCATACGAAGCTGGTGGAAGGACTATTCCTCTGTTTAGCTATCAATGGAATAGGAACCTAGTTCTCTAAATTTTTATAAAGCCATTAACTTGTTTAGTTTTCATATTAAACATTTCTCGGTAATAAATGCATATAATGTCAGGAATATATTCAACCTAAGACTTTCTTAAAACTTGGATTTATGAAGTGAATACATTAATTTTCTTTTTGTTTGGACTTCTGCTTAAATATCATTTAAATCAATTCAGGATTTGATTTAATGATTAACGTGTAAATTTATTACACTTCCAATAAGATAAGATGAAAACGTGCTGCTTTGGCTTATCAGAAGTATGCTAACAAAAAATAGACTCTTATTGTCATGCCACATCCGAAGCATCCTCTTAAAGGTGCATCCTTAGTCGAAGCAACACACACACATCCACATAGCACACAGCTGTGTGAAAACATATTCCCTGCTCACCAAGCAACTGCCTCGCTGTAGACAAAACCGGCAACGGCACGACGCACAACCTCGAAGCACAGGTCGGAGCCCTCCATGCTGCAAATGTGTAAAAATGGAAAATGTAAGTAAATAACTGAAAGGTTTGAAAGGGTACGGAAGGGGAGCACTTACAACTCGAACACCATGTAGAGCATGCCCTCGGAGCTGTAGGTCTCCAGCAGCTCGACAATGTGCGGATGCTTCAGCATGTGACATATTGTGGCCTCGCGCTTCAGATCTGCAATGGGAGTGGAGGCAGGGAGAAACGGCAATTAGTTGACATTAGATGGAAGCCTAAACAGTTGTATGGCCAGCACCCAGCAGCCAGCAGCCAGCACACAGCCCCCCGCTCATTCCACACCCGACACCAGCTGGCAGTGGCACTAATGGACTTAGCGCTGACTTATGTGCCTGCCATGCATCATTTAGTCAATGGCCGGGTGTTGGTACGAGGTCCCAGTGCTGCTCCTGCTGCTGCTGCTGCTGTACGTCCAGGTCCAGGCATCCTTGCACTTGAGCAATTTCTTTTTAATTGGCATCTTGGGCTGCCAGATGCCTGGTGTTCCCAGGCCTGTGCCCTCCTACACGTGTGTCAGCAACATAATTTTGAATAATTGAGCAGCTTAATTATAATTTATTCACACAAAAACGGAGCCTGTCAGGCCAAATCGAACAAGGTCGCCTCCCACTCTGGAAAGAACAAAAAAAAAAAATGAGAACACTCACCCGCTGTGCTCAGTCCTGGACTCGCTGTGAACTTGGCCACATCAACGATTTTAACAGCAAACTGCTGGTTGGACTCCCTGTGTATACATCGTCGCACAATGGAGAAGGGTCCTCTGCAAAAAGGAAAGCAGACCGAACGAGAGAATTATGTAGTTCAGACGAAATTTAAGTGAAATTTTAGGGGGTCTAAATATATTGGGAAAGATTTGATTTGAAATATTTGCCATAATGAGACCTTTGTATACCCTGAAAAATAAAAGGGAATTCCCAATAAAGTTTTCCTCAACATTTACAAAATATGTTCAATAAAAGGTGGACACTCAGAGGCAGCCACAGAAATATTTCTAAGTCTGTATTATTGGCACTGTTCCAAAATATGTGTAACTTTCGAATTGTTTATCAGCACAGAAATTGTTGGCTTTTAATTATTCCAGCCTAGAAAAACTCCCCCTAAATTGTATGCTCTGCACAAAAGTTCTTCATAATGGTTTTTATTGCCAAAACAAATCACAGAATTATTTGCAATATAATTTCATGCTGCTTCGGTCAACTTTGACCTGATAAACTATATGTAAAATGTTGTCCCCCCCTCAAAACGAACCTATACGATAGCGTACCACCACTTTGGGGGGGGGGACAACTATGATGCTGTCAGGAGTGTAACGTAACCAAACAAAACACAGAAATTTCGTTAGAGTACCATCAATTTTTGAATAATGCAAAAGTTGTTGGAGAAGTTTGCCAACTTTTTCTTGCACTTCTTGAGGAGGATGTGGACGCTGAGGACGGTACAGATGTTAGGACACAAATAATGAGATAATGGCAGCCGTCAATAGCAACAGGGAGGAGGGGGGAAACTTACTTGCCAATGACCTCGCACAGCTCGTAGACATCGTCAAAGAGAATTTCGTCTTCGGTCATTTTGAATAATTGATGAATTGGTGCTGATGGTTCGCGTCTCAATTGCTTTTTCGAATATTGATGAGTGGGGGCGGTATGGTCCCGGCTTGGTGTCTTAGGTGTACGTGTTCCTCCGTGGCCAACGTTTTTTTTCCCTCCTGTTTTAGCCCGCTACGTGTTCGTCCTTGTTCCAGTGCCTGTTCGCCCACTGCCCTCCAAAAGCGAACACAAAAAAATTAACAAAAAAAAAAGATCCCCAAACCGATGGGCACCAAGAGAGCAACTCTTAAAAAACTTGGCACTTCTGTGGGTTGTGTTGTTCCTCTTGCTGTTGTTGGAGGTTGTTGATGTTTTTTTTTCGCTTCTCTTCTTTCGCGTTAACTGATGTTAAAGATACATTTCGTGGCTGCAAAAAAGAAATAGAACCAAACAGAGGCATGTTTTTTAGTAAAGGAAATGAGTATGGCCACTGGCCAGCCATCGGCCAACAGGCTGTCAATCACAGGCGGCAGGCGGCCCCTCTTCAGGTGAGATCTATTCCGAACCCAAATCAATTACAGTCCAAGCCCGCAACCGCACAACACACCCATTCCACGATGCATGGGGTGGGCAGGAAGGAAGTTTCACTGTCAATGATTTGAACTTTCCAACGGAAATGATGAGCGGTCCCAAATTTTTGGTCCACAAAAAGGTAAACAAGCCTTCAAATATCACACAACAAAAGGGGGACAGAGTGGTAGGGTGCGCGAGGAAGGTGGAGTGCAAAGGGGCGGGGTACGTTGCCCTATAGCTAGTTCATTTTGCTATTGTCTTGGTCAGAGCCGCCGTGTACTATTATTATGCCCATTTGGGACCCCGAGGGGCACTCTTGACAGGCACTCCAAAGAGTCCTACAAAAGGGGCGCCCAGAAAGGAGAGAAAAATGGAGAGTGAGCTCAGAGAGAGAGAGAGCCTGAGAGCGAGTCGTGGAGCAAGCGCAGGCGCCCCAATCGCTGTCCGTGTAAAATGGCAATTGTAATCGTAAAAAATATAAGCTATGCTTTGCTCAGAAGAGGCTCTTGAGCTGGGGCCAGGGCTTGGCTGCATGAATATTTAAATATGCAACAATTTACGATGCACTCACAGGACACACACGCACACCAGAACGAACTGACACACACACGCACACACAGACACAGATAGAGGCGAGTAGGGAGCCCTGGACCGGGACAAGTGTCATGTTTAATGCAGAGCTGCGCATGGGGCGCGGTGCTCGAAGCTCGAGCGAAGGTTTTACCTTGCTCGTGTGCCGCCGCTGCCGTCGCCGCTGTTGTAAAATGCCTTGACACTTGCCATGCCACTACACGACCTTACCTCACACACGGACGCACACTAATGCTAACACACACACACACACCAGACACCCGCTGCTACTGCTGGGCTGCACTTGTCACCAGAGCGACACAAGTGCCACCGCCTTCTCGGGCAATTGGGAAATTGATTCTTTGTCTAGGACGAGGAATTACAAAAGGATTTGCATTGCTCTGTCACAGTCGCAGCAGCCACCCACAACACCCCCGCACAAGCACACACATTCCACCACACACACACACAGGCACATACGAGTATTGGTATGTATTTTTTATGTACAAACCCCTGTACGAAGACTCGCACCGAAATTTTGTCGGCCCTGCCCTGCCTCAGCGACAGAGTATTTTACACACAAACGGCATTAAAAGATCGCGACTGGGTTGACGTCAACACATAGAGACGCTTAATAGTTTAATTAATTTCACATTTTCCACTAATTTTGGTGTTAAAACAAACACGGCCACCGCTCATGGGTTGGTATGGTGGTTGTACACGAATTACACTACTCACAGCGTCCACGGGAACTTTTGAAATTTGAATAAAACGTACACTTATTGGAATTTTCCCAATAGTGGGCAACTGTTTTGGATTTTACCCAATTGTAGAAAAACGTTATTGGAATTTATATTTTTGTTTAAAATCCAATTGGAGCTCATTTTGTAACGCATATATGAGTCGAGATTTAATGTGGCCCTCCCGAAATTTACCAAAATACCAAGTTAAATACCAAAGAAAAACGGACCGTTCAGAGTATGCCCATTTTGAACATGGCTTAATCAATTTCGTATTCACAACTAATTTGGTTTTGTAACAAACACGGGCATGTTAATTTCGGTGGGATACCAACATTATACATTATTAGTGATTAACCTGCTAAAAAGATACAAAAAAATGTACATTTGATAACTACATGGTAACTACATACTTGCTACATATCAAACGGCTCAAAAAATACCTTTTCAAGACAGGTTCGGTTCTTGTACAAGTTTCAGCTCTCTTGATAGAACGAATGCCAGCAAGGAAACTTGTGTTGGTTTATTGACGAAACATCACAAAACCCGTTGAATCGTTAAACAAAAATAATTTTCTTTGAATTCAGTTCCTCTGAATCGAACTACTAGTTCCGGCTAAAATATACCAGAAGTTCTTTGGTATTTAACGATGTAACGGGTTTTGTAAATTTTGTATGAATCAAAAGATGGTCACTTTAAAATACGCGCGGGAAAATCAAAAATTATAATCACAAAAGTAACGAGAAACTTTTATAATGATAATTATTTGACAAGGAAGACAATTTTCTGCTGACTAAGCAATTAAATGTTATAGAGTTACACTTTAGCGACGAATCAGTAGAAATGGTAGAAATCGCTTGTGTTAAGTAAATAACTACAATATGAAGGTGTTTTAGGTGTTACTTATGGAACAAATACAATATATGTATGTATGATATACATTCTCCACTGAACCGTTTCGATTAAAGTGAATTAAAGCAATATTGACATTGCTCACAAGTGCATGACGGGCATTATTGTTGGATATTTAATTTGTGGCATGTGTTTATTCATGTGTACACATTCCCCGATATGGGGCTATGCTCTGCACTCCGACTGGTACTGGGTTCCCATATCTGCAATGATTTCTCTTATCGCAGAAACATTTAGCATAAAGAAACCTTTCATTTATCCCTTGTGAGGATCCTCAGCCAAACTCTTTATCTGTAGGGCTATTCTCACTCCATGGAATAATACCATAATATTTACATTTTCTTTTCGTGCCATTCAACATTATCTATTATTATTATTATTACCCCATAGCATTTGATAAACCCATTAGAATAAATTAAGATCTCGACATTAATATGCCAGGCACACAGAGCCAGGAGACCGACCGTAGAGTAGGAGAACCCAAGAACCCGAGAACCCGCCGTCGTAGGTGCGTAATCTGTAAATCAGCCCTGAAAGAGGGAAAAGGATTGGGGTAAGGAAGGCACACTACCCGATCCGATCCCATCCCCATGCTGGCAACATAAACATCATCAATTACAAAACCTCGAACAGCAAAAACGTTAAGGAGGTGGGAGGCGGAGGTGCTGAAGCAAGGGCCAAGAACAATAAGTTAGGGAATAACAACAAAACAACAAAACAACAAAACAAAAAACAACAAGAACCAAAATAGGCACAGCAAGGGCAAGAGCAAGAACAAGTGAATAAAAACCATGGAAGAGCGGGAACTTCTCTTTGAAACTCTTTCCGATCGATTATTCCTGTGGCACGGCACCTATGATTTCTATGAACGTCTTTTATTGAAAGCTACAAATACACATTTCAATTAATTTATTATATTTTAATATTGTCATATGAAACATCCTGCTGGACTGCCCAGTGGCTTGTTTCTCAAATTCTCCATTTCGTGTCCGTTGCCCATCCTTAAGGCGAAGAACAGCAAGAACATGACACAAAATCGTAGGTCGTCAGCGCAGTGTAGTGCATTTGTTTTTTTAGTTGTTTCTGTTGTTCCCTCGTACGTTGACAAAAAGGCACAGAAAAAAGGGAAACAAAACAAACCAGCCAAAAGGAGTGAAACAGGAGAGAGAGAGAAAGAGAGAGAGAAAAAGGGCAGGCTGAGAGCCGCCACTCAGGTGAAATCAAAATCAAATTCAACGCCAACGATGAGCGTACATACATACATACATATGTACATATGTATACCTATACCTATAGCTATCCCTATCGCTGTGCTGTCCCTTCCATCCCCTATCCTATCCCCTATACCTGTCGCCGCTTGCGACTGTCGCGCTTAATGCGTGTGGGGATGGACATGAACGTGTAGGATTCGAATTGACATTATAAAAACTGGTTTGGTTTGCTGCCAATATATATTGCCGGTTACGCATCGCGCTTCGTCCTACATGGCCGACGTCGACTGCAACGCCAACGCCAACGCTGACGCTGACGCCAATGTCTCCCCTCTCCTTTGGCGTGTACCTGCCTACTTGAATCTGATTCCTGTTTGTTGTTGCTGTCTCTAGGACATTACCTGTGCCGGGGGGTAACTAGCTAAGAAAGAAAGAACGAACGAAAAAGAGCGCGCCAAAAAGGTTCGGGGCCCCTCCCCTCGTCATGAAAAGTCTCTTGACGTACATCTGATCCGATAATGACAGTCGATATGGCAACCTAGCAATCAAAAGATTTCAGATTTGTGCATGTTAAGCGGCACACAAAGAAGATTATGTAATGTTTATAAGAATAAGGAAGATACCTGTCAAAATGTGGCTTGTCTCGATAAAGATAAAAGTAGACACTCGTCAACAGTCAATAGGAAATAAGACTGAAAAATAAAAATTATTGCAAGTTTTGGATAAAGACTTAGGGAGATTTAGAGAACCCATTTAATATGAGAATCACTTGATTAGCTATTAGTGGAAACTTACCCTTGGCAACTTGAAACATCTGGAGGCACTCTCAAGTTTCCAGCTAACTTTCATTAAATATGGACAACACTTGTTCCAATCACTCTCTCACAATCAATCACTTTATTATTAGCTAACCATTGAATTAAATTTAAAATCTATTGAATTTAAATTTATATTAAATTTAATTAAATTAAAAAGTGTACAAAAAAACCAAGAACTATTTGTGGACAGATAAAGTGGGAAAAATGTTACGGTTTTCGTCTAGGCCGTCATAAGATTATCAAGAAGAAAATGCTGTAACTATGAATATTCCCACATTTCATAAAAATTAAAGTAAATATTTCTGAGGTCAACGAACCTTATTTAATCTTTTTGTGTTTTCTTCCACTCATAGAAACTGTACGCAAAATTGAAAATGAGATGGACTAGCAGCTGACACAGCATCATTATAGATGCGTCCTCTCCCTTTCCATCACTCGTGACTCCCGCTCTATTTCTCCTTCGCTTGATCCTGTTATGGCATATTGAGTTAATGTAGTCAAATTACATTGCATGGAAATGCATCTTCTCGCATCCCATCCCATCGCATACGCGCCGCATCATAT